TGGAAGGAGGTCTATAAAAGACCAAATGTAAGGTTAAAAGCAATTGCTAATCCCAGTACTGAATCTATGGAATGTACACATTTGTTAACATTGCAAATTCCCATTGATTTAATCAGTCTACTCTAGTGAAATTTGACAGTTGAATTTAGCCAATAATTATTAAAAATAATTCCCAGATTCCTACAGCTTTTCATCTTTAAAATTGTTTCAATCAGGGTTTTTTGTTGTTGTTTAGCAAGGATTGTATTTTTTTTTATCTGATGAATAGGGATGACATAACATTTCTTGATTTTTGAATTTCCAGACTAATTTCATAAGACAGAGATAGTAAAAACATGGGGCTGTCTTGAGTGAATAGTTTATTCAGTATCCTTCTGCTACTGAAGGGTCAATAGAGGATAGATTTCTTTCTCCCCCTGAACAAGGAGTGTTTAGATTAAAACTGAGTAATTGGACTTTACTCTAAAAAGTAGTTTCTTAAACACTGTTTCTGGCAGACAATTATAAAATATCAGCATCCAGCCTGGTAAATGACTTAAGGTCACTAGTTAGAATTTCCCCAGGTAAATAAATTGTAAATGTCACATTTACACTCAAATAACCATTTGAGGAAAACAGTGGCTAGAAGCCAATTCTCCTGTAATTTGAGTATGTTCACCTTTTACCTGTCCTGCCTGCCCTCTCTCTAAAACATCTGGCAGAGTGGTTGTTGAGTGTGTATATATGCACATGTCCCCCCCCCCAAAAAAACCCTTTGCCAATGGAAAATTCCAGCAGAAAATATTATAACAATCTCCGCTTCCCATAATAATAACACCAGTTGAACTTTGTACAGCACAAAAGAAATTATCAAAAGATATATAAAGCATCCAAACAGGTCTTTTGCAATTCACAATGGAGGCATAAAAGTTCCCTTAGAACTATAAATTGCTTTTTCTCTCTGTTTCCTTGCAACTGGTATGCTTTAGTATGCTGTGAGTCAGTAACTTAACATCACACGATACATCCAGCTAATGAGATTACAGAAGCATTGTGCCTCTCCATCATTTTATTATCAGTGACTGCCAGTCCATTAAAACCTGTAACCCTGAGAAGTGAACTCCAGTCCTTAACTTTTGCATTCTGAAAATGACCTTCCCTTGGCTTTTAACAGATAAGATGGATGCAGGATTCTTTGGGCCTCGGCAGACGGCTAATTGCGCCGTCTCCGAGGCCCGGAAGAGGAGGAGCCGCCGCACGTTCGGCGGCTCTTCCTCTTCTTGAGGGCACACCCGGAAGCGCCGGCCACTGTTAGGGCGCACTTTCGGCAGAATCTAAAAGGATCGCCATTTTGGCAGTCCTTTTAGATTCGCCGGGGATGCGCCGCCGTCCGGAGGCTAAACTCCGGCGGCGGTCCGGACCAGGGCGTCTCCGACGCCCTCGTCTGCATCCCCCCTTTGACAGTTAAAGATACTCTCCAAGAACTGAAATCCAACCACAGGCCCATCATCTCCTGTTTGAAAGGATTTCTTTCCCTTATTACTATGTACTAGTGATGTTTCAAAGTTAGTTGTTGTAGTTGTTCCTTCAAGTCATTTCCAACTTATTGAAACCCTGAGGTGACACAATCACAGGGTTCTCTTGCCGAGTTTCTCCAGAGAGGGTTTTTCCATTCCCATTCATTGAAGGTGAGAAAGTGTGATTTGCCCAAGGTCACCCAGTAGATCTTCATGGCTGAGCAGGGATTTGAACCCTGCCCCCCAGAATCATAATCCAACATTCAAACCACTACACCATGCTGGCACCCCAGCTCTAAGTTTATTTACCTTTAATTTCATCTACCATATAAATAAAGATGTAGATACAGATATTTACACACACACACACACACACCATGCTTCATCCAAACAAAGCAAGTTGATGAACAATAAATATATATTGTCTTGAGACTGAAAAGCTGCAATCCTGCATCCACACACTGAGGTCCATTAATAATTATGTAATTGTGTGGTGTAGAGGGTTGAATGTAGGACTAGGATTCTGGAGAGCAAGGTTTGATTCTCCACTCAGACATGGCCCCCCTGGGTGACCTTGGGCTAGTTGCATGTTCTCAGCCCCAGAAAAACCTATGAAAGGTTTGCCCTAGGGTCACCATACGTGAGAAATAACTTGAGGGCATACAACAGCTACAACAACAACATATATATATATATATATATATATATATATATATATATATATGTTTTTTTTTTTAAAAAAAAATACAACAATGGGGCCACTCAATAAAAGGAAGATACAAATGGCCATGTCCTAAAACAGGGAGAGAAATTATGTTGTTCTTTTGGCTTGCAAGTCAGAACAGCTCTAACTAGCGAGCTTATCACTTTGCCTTTTAAAGTGAATAAAGCCTCCTGGGCTGCAGCCTGGACATGACATGAAGGTGGGGGTCATCGCACAGTAAGTTGCTGTTGAATCACCAGGCAGCCCAGGTCCCAGCCATCCTCAGCCAGCTGCCATTTAAACTCCTGGAGCTTTCCATTTTCTAAAAAGGGCTGGATGAGGACAGCTGGGCCCAGGCTGCAGTCACCTGGCAATTCGGCTGTGACTTACTGTTATATAAACCCTGCCTCCATGGCGTGTTCCAGCTGTAACCCAGGAGGCTTTATTCATTTTAAAAGGTAATGCGATAAGCTCTTTGGGTCCAAAACACACTGCAGAAATAATCCAGTTTGAGATTGCTTTAACTGCTCTAGCTGAATGCTAGGAATGTTCTGGGAACTGTAGTTTTGTGAGACGTTTAGCTTTTTCTAGTGCCAAATCAAACTACAAATCCCAGGATTCCCTAGGGCCTCGGCAGACGACTAATAGAGTCGTCTTGGAGGCAGGGAAGAGGAGGGGCAGCCGCACAATCGGCGCCCTTTCCTCCTCCCGAGGTTGCCCTCGGAGCTGCCGGCCCTCCGCACGGCCGGCGCTCCAAGGGCAACCTCTCGCCACAGCGTCCGCACACGCTGCGGCGGATAAGTCAGGGAAAGTGCGCCCTACGCTTTTAGGGCACACTTTCACTGACTTCTGAAAGGAGCGCTGATTTAGCGCTCCTTTCAGAGGCGCCGACGGTGCGCCGTGGTGTGGATGCCGCGGTCCCACGGCGCACCGTCCTGCGGCATCTCGGACGCCCTCGTGTGCTTTCCCCCCCTAGTCAGGGCAGTTAAAATAGTCTCAAATTGAATTATTTCTGCAGTGTGTTTTGGATCTAGGACAGCCAATTGAGAAGAACTCAGGAAAGGAAGAGGTACTAGGTAGTATTTTGAAAACTTACATCAAATAAAGAAACACATCAAATAATTTCAGAAGAAAATCAACCTATGCTTTATTAATTACAGCAAGTGCTTTGAATGGGTAGATCATGAGAAATTATGATTTTGGGGGGATGCAGACGAGGGCGTCCAAGACGCCCTGGTCTGCAGCGCCATGGGGCCAAGGCAGCCTCACCGCGGCACTTCCCCAGCGAATCTAAAAGGAGCGCCAAATTGGCGCTCCTTTTAGATTTAAGGGAAAGTGCGCCCCAAAAGCGGCGGGCACACTTTCCCTGCCTCAAACGGCGCAGCACATGTGGGCGCTGCGCCGTGAGGTCATCCCCAGTGCGCTGGCCGTGCGGATGGCCGGCGCGTCTGGGGGCGACCTCAGGGAGAGGAAGGGGCGCCGCTCATGCGGCTGCCCCTCCTCTTCCCTGCCTGGAAGACGGCTCAATTAGCCATCTGCCGAGGCAGTTTCTCTAAATATTATAAAAATATTATAGTATCACAAACTATATGTTGTGATCAAATAGGGTTTTGACAGTTTCAATAGTTTCAAGTAGGAAATACTAGCATATATTTTATCAATCAACAGATTTTGTTGCCATATATGACTTGATGGATTTCTAGCATTGCATACCTGATTATTGTAAGCACTCCAGAGCAGGAATCTCTTCTTCTTTTTTGCAATACTTTGTAAATTTCTATGTTTATTTATGGAAAATAATAATAATAACAATAATAATAATAATAATATTTATTTCTAGGGTGGGTTACAGCATAATTAAAAGAAGTTAAAACATTTTACATCCCAATCCCTAACCCTCCCTCCCCTTAAAACTGAATTAAACCAATGAATAATTAAAATACATTATATAATTAAAATCAACAATTTATGGGAGCATACGTCAGTCATTGGAGGGGCTCAGAGCAGGGAGATGGACTCCTCTCACCGGGAGGCTATTCCGGATAGGCCGGCTGGAAGAGCTCCGTCTTTACTGCTTTCTTAAATGGAGCAAGAGTAGTAATAAGATGGATCTCATCCGGCAGGCCGTTCCATAGCCTGGGAGCGGTCACAGAGAAGGTCCTCTGGGAGGTATCCAAGAGCCTAGTCTTCATAGGCTGCAGCAGATTCCTCCCAGAGGACCTAAGGGCCCGAGGGGGGG